GCCGGGAGCCTCGTGTGCAAGGGGGGCTGGAAGCAGAAGCTGTTTAACTGGTTAATTTATTAACCAGGATTTTACATTCCTACTGCCAACAAGGATGCCATCCTGGCTTAGTTGGCAGGATAGCTTAAGCCAGTCATGGCTCTGAGTTTTACCACTTTGACCTGAAAACTTGTTAAAATACCTTGTTCGCTTTCCTTTGCATTCTTCTGTTTACACTTCTTTTGAGGCTCTTGACTGGGCATTATCTGATCCTTTAGTTCAGGCACCTTGCTCTGTTCATATTTTCTTCTAGCTTTTCCCATCACTGCAGTGAAAGCTTGCCTTTCTTGATCCTAGATAGGCTTTTATAACTGCGGAGGAATCACTAATACAGAAGCTTAGCCACTAGTTAACCATATGCAGTTGATGCTTTTCTAGTCCTGTCAACTGTCCTCTGATTTTTATCTGGTCATTGTCCACTTGGACCATCACTATACCAGCTGTTGACCTGAGCAAAATATTTTAAATTTGGCTGCTAAAAATAGTGGTTTACTCTTCAGAGGTGCTGAATGTTTGCAGCTCCTATTGATTTCAGAAGAAGCTCAGTATCTGTGGAACTTAAATCAGTCTTGTTTGGGTACTTAACTTCATCTTTTATTTTTACTAAGACATGCAAACAGAATCTTCATGTTGTTTGGTAACTGACCTATTACTATAGTGTGCCTAGGGTCCTATGTTCATTTGTAACCTCTGTCCAGTTTTTGTGCTTATCAACCTACTCCTAATGTTAACTAGGTGTACATATTGGTATAGTAGACTATTCAGATTGTACACTGCTTCAGTAAAATATAATTTCAAGGAGCTTAAAATGTGGCTGTTCAGAAAAATGACTATTAAAGCACTTCTACTCAACAGTTCTGCTTTTTGTACTTATTACAGATCAAGTTTTTACTCCTGCATTTCAGAGTCAGTGGTTATGAGTCAGTGAGCCTGATTCTATTTGTTTGAGCATCAACAGAGCTGATGAATGAGCCAGAAAAAGAATCACAACTTTTTACTTTTTTAGGACTACTATGCTGATATTTACAGAGCTCATAAGTAGAAAAACTCTTAACAGAATTGCTTTTTACAAAAATGTTAAAGGGAGACACATGTGAAACCCAACAACAATGCTTTTAGTCACCTCATCCTTCAGTCTTATGGAACCATGTAGCTCCAGTTACTACATACTATATTTGCTTTTGTGGCATAGATAGGAACTCAAACTTGTCTAGAACAGTGTATACTTAAAATTGCTATGATGCACAGGATCTGGACAAAATGCAGTAGATTACCCCATAAAGACAGTTGTGTGTAGCTTATCAGAAAAGCACTCTGATCCATAGAGGTGTTGCACTTGTTTAGACTCATTCAAAATACTGAGGGGGAGGGAGTATTATTGCAGCATCTGAAGAACTTGTATATTTTTAATACCGTAGGGAAATTTCTAGTATAATAAAGTTATCAAGAT